GGCATGGAGCCGCTAGTAATGGGGGCAGTTGTTGGCTCCTGCCCCCGGCCCTCGCTGGCCCGGACGTAGCCCAGGTGCAGTTCTTTTACTTTATCCCAGACTTGCTCCAGGGTCCGGGCTGGATAGCCCTGCTGGGCGAGCACCTGGGCCATGTGGGAAAAGATCTCCATGTTCCGGCTCCGGGAGCGGGTCTCATGCAGGGCCTTCTCCGGGGACCAGGATGGGGCCCGTCTTTTTCTGGCCCTGAGGGCCTCCTGTGCTGGGGAGGGCGGGTGGCTGATCCCCACCTAGAGCTGCCATTGTGCTTGGGGGGTGTCTGCTGGATGGCAGGGGCCACGTGTCAGAGCTGTGGCCAGAGGGCTCCTGCCTTGTGACCTCAGCAGCCTGAGTCTGCTTTAAGGAGGCTCGGGTTACCAGGAAGTCCAAAAGCTGATTGTGGCTATGGAGTCTCTGATCGTCCACTTGGGGTTTTTTCCGTTTAGCCTGCTTTTGCGCTAAACGTCTTAGCTGCCTGTCTACACTGGCCCTTTTGCGCAAAAATATTTCTGCAGGAGGGCTTTTTCCCGAACGTGAACGTCAAAGCATTTGCGCAAGAAGCACTGATTTCGGACAGTAGAACGTCAGTGCTTTTGCGCAAAATCAAGTGGCCAGTGGAGACAGCTGGCAAGTTTTTGCGCAAAAGCACTTGCTTTTGCGGAAAAACTTGCCAGTCAAGACACAGCCACCATGTGTATGCTAGTGGTTGCTAATCTGTATCTCAGAGTATGAGTAAATGCATAGAAAGTTGCTTCTGCACAACTGATTTCTTAACTGAATTTTTTTTTAAGGTTAAAGGTCTTATGTTTTTGCTTGCTAGTACCCCATCTTGGCACTGTTTTTGAAAAAAAACAGGATTGCCTAGGCATGTTTAATTATCTTATTTCTGTTTTATCCTTGCCACTTTTGCTATAATCCAATTAAAGCAACTTTTGTAACTGAGGACTAGATTGTGTCATAGAACATCTATGGGGGTGAATCCCATAAAAATTTGCTGCTGGATGGAGTAGAAATTAATATAATCAACAATAAGACTGTCAAGCACTGGCATACTTATAAACCCATGGGTTCAGTGGGGATTCTATTATGATCTACCTCCTTTGCAATAAATTTAGAGCATATTGCCTTTCAGTATGAGTATTTTCCAATCCGCTACATTGAAGTATTGCACATAAATATATATGCTGTACCCCTAGATTTTCAGATCTGTAAAAGCCGGTGCTCAGCATAATAGTTGTTAAATTCTCTAGTTGGTAGCCAAATTTGTTCAGTTATCTCAATTACTCTTCAGCTAATTTTATTTTTTCCTGCTATTCATCTACTTCTCATTTGAACAGAAAACCATTCACTGCTCTGCCAGCTACACATTTGAAAGCAGCAGTGGACACATTTTATATATCAATATGAATAAGAACCATAGAGAGACTAACTGGGTAGCAAAAAACAAAACCCCAAAACCACATCCGTGGCTCATTAGATAACCAGATAATTTGTCAGAGGGATTCACTAGATGTGACTAGAATAGAAAGTGAACATTTAATAAAAAGACAGCCTGTTTCAGTGCTTTTCTTCCTGATTTTTATAGCACTAATATAAGAATCTATAAGATAATGAAACATTTTTAATCAACTAACTTAATAATGCTGGCATCAACAATGCCATCATATTGAGGCAGTAGTGAATTAGTTGAAAAGGAGTAGCAATTTTTTAACCACAATGCACAGACTTGCTTGTAAGAATGTAACACACATATTTAATCATAATTATAGGCCGGGTCTTAATTTTTAAAAATATATTTTTCCTGTCAAAAGTGATTTTGCTTTCTGACTTTGTATAGGTGCAATATCTCTGTGTACTCTTAGCTTTTGTGGTCATTGCTATAATTTGGCTCACTTGCTCAAATTGTAGAACTTTGGTATCAGAATTGTCAAGTGTTTCACACTTCTGAGTTCTCAGATATAACAAAGGTAAGAAATCATTTTTGTCCATGCAGTGAATTAAGATGATACATGGAAGTAAGGTACTAATATTTTGTCTGCACAGTGGAAAAATCATTGGGAGTCCAGCTCAGCTGATATAAAAAATGTTTATCACAAAATAAAATGGCTGAATTCAAATATAAAAGGTCTTTGCTGCAATTGCAACTATAGCTATATTGCTATAAAATTATATAATTCTGTAACTAAGGTATAGGCAATAGATTAGATTTGAGTTGTAGGTTTAAGTGGTAAAATATAAATAGGATTACCCCACAGGGTATAGAACTAATAAGCGGGTATAACTGATGTGTGTGTATTAGATATTTAAGTAAAATGAGGCTGTAACACAAGACTTTAAGTCTGTAGGCCTTAAGACATGTAGTTTGTCCATAGAAGGACTCCAGCCTGAAAATGGTTGGCAGGACTAGTTGACTGAGAGAGAATTTTGTATCGGTAACGTGTAAAATTGTAGTAAAAGATGTGTCAACCATTGATGCACTGGAAAATATGCTATAGTGTTCCTGTTCATACCACAAAATACTGAATAGTAATATTTTGGGGATTCTGTAGTAACCTCAAGTTGCATAACTCACAACATAGATGTTAATGAGAATATGGAAAAATAAGGGACAGCCTATGAGAAATGGGACACCCTAATATCCATGGAGTTTGCAAATGTAGTTAAGGGAAAAAAGGTTAACACTGCTATGTGCATCGGTGAACCCTAATGATAAAAGAAGTGGCCAGCCTGTGTACTGGGGAGAAAGTATGGGGAGCTGCCAGGATGACAACCGTGGATAATGATAATGACGAAGATAGTAACTAACACTCAAGTACCCCAATAGTAGATATGAAAAGTGAAGTGATGCCATTCCAGGGCTAAAAAACTTTGCAATCATTCCCTATTATGTTAATGCTTTTGGAGTTGTTTATCTACTTAGTGACTGTAATTTAAGGGACCTGAGATAAATTACAACTATTTCTCATGTGCTTCTAGGGGGTCTCATTTTAATGACACTGATT